CAGCAGGAACATGTTTGATGCTCTACATCTACCACTATAGTCAAGACACAGACTAGTAGTTGTTATTTCTTAATGTCGAACATAATACGTGTGATATGCTAGTGGTGTTTCATTTTTTTATTTTATTATTATTATTATTTTTTTTCTTTATAATTTAGCCTAAAATTTCTTTTCTAGAAAAAAATTCTCTTGTGCTCGCTCGCTATTATCGTTTTGTTTTCTTTAGCTTTAAATGCATAAAATCTATAATCATACGATATATCGCGCACCTCCCTACGAACATATACATTTTGAAACGTTCATTCGATTATTGAATTTTTTCCGCAGATGGCAATACAATTTCTCTTTCTTTCTTTTTTTTCTCTCGGGATATTAAATTATTTCTTAAAGGAAATTCGCGCGACCTGTGCTTATAATGACATGTATCGAATTGTCGAATTAGAATTTTAAAGATTCGAGGGAGGCCGCGGATGATCGACGAGACAAGCCAATAGAAGGTGGTCCACTGACCAGGGATGTGGTGCCGAAAAGTTTGTACCAGCCGAATACCATTTCATTGAGATTCAGATTGTCCAGCATGATCTGGGCCACGCCCATGAACACTTTTTTCCCTTCTAGGCGGCCATAATCACCCCACACTGTCACCTGTAACAATTCATTTGTAAAATAATTGTTGTATTTTGTTCATTTGTTCTTTGTTTATTTTTAATTATTATCTGTATGATATTATTGAAAATTTTACAATCTTCCGATAAAAATGTTTGATATTGTTATTAAAAAATTTAGCTGTGCTTCACGTAAGTAGCAAGTGATGGACTATGAGAAATAACAGGGACAAATATTTTGATACCTCGTCAATTTAAAGAAAGGACCAAAAATAGATAGTGAAAAATGTCAATATATATAAGCATTGAGCTTAAGGACTAAAAATGTTCATATAATATAATCTGTATTATGCGAGTGAAGCAAAATTTTCAAGAAGTTAAATATCAATTAAAAATTCTTTTCCATATATATTTTATCTAAACAATTGTATGAATAGAGTGTAATAGTTACCAAAAAGAATTATTTTATGTAATCTTATGTATACATAAAAATTGAACTATATTTTTATAGAAAGCGTAGGAATTTTATATTTTACCTGTAATATACATCCACGAAAGTTCTCTCTAAAGGCTAACGGCTGCTGATAAAATGGTTCCAGTGTTTTTCTCGCTGTTGTTGTTTTGGCTTTCGCTATACACTTTTTACCGCTTACAAGATAAACTTTTACATAAGGAGCTAACAAGAAAAAATAGAATTTAGAATATTAGTTTGTCTTTGCGGACTTGTCTTTTTAATATTATGAATCATAATTACAGTTGAAAAGTAATAAGAATATACTATTTACACGATCATAATGATTGAATATAGTTATGCATATATTTATTAAATATTCTTTTACGGATTTAATACATTACATTATGTTTCGTATGTGTAAATGACTGTTCAGGTTCACAATGTGCAGATTGAATAAATCCGAGCACAATGAATGATATGGAAATGGATAAGGAAAAAACGTACCTGGCAAAGTTTTGCTACCACGTCGGGGCTGAAGTTCACGAGCTCTAACTACTTCCACTTCCAAATAACCTTTCGTATTACTCAGAGACAATTGTATATCACCAAGGGAAGCAGCCCCTAGAACTTGTCTTCCGACCAATTGTCCGGGTCCAAGACCCTCGATAAATTCGTTTAACTGACTGCTATCGCCCGCCACGCGTAAATTTGGTGACCAACTGCTTATAAATGTGTGAAAGCACAAAAATATAACATTAATACAGTAGTATTAAATGCAACTACAATCATTGCTGAATCTAATTTCAAATATCAATTACCTACACTGCTCTTTTAATATAGGAATATGAATTGCAAAAAAAAAAAATAAATACGATTTTTTACATATTTGTAAGCTGAATTAAAAAAAAAAATATTGGGTAATTTTCTTACGAATATTCTATAATATCACTATTTAATATTGATATGATTGATTAAAAATTGTATATTATAGCAGAGATTTTAGATTTTTGTAATTTTTTATTTTAGAAAATCATGTTATATATAAATTATATATACTTTATACGTATGTGATTATATAAATTTTGTTGAAAGCTTCTGAACAGAGAATAATACACACAGACACAAATATACAAATTTTCTGTATACATACACACACGCGTATGCACATAAAAAATCTCTCCCTCTCTCTCTCTCTCTCTCTCTCTCTCTCTCTTTCTCTCTCTCTCTCATCAAATAAGTGCACATATATACAAAATAGTCTCTTTATAATATCTATGTTGTTAAAAGTTTATGATAGGAATTTCAGATTAAGATTGAGTCATTTTAGCTATAATATGACAATTTAATATATATATATATATATATATAATATAATATAATATTATATGTAATATAATAATATATAATAAATATGATATATATATATATATATATATATATATATATATTTATATATATTTATAAATTCTATTATATACATAAACTATGTCAAAATATAGCAGAAATAAAATTAGTTTTTTTATAAATACGGAAACATATAAGTAAAAGAAATACACACTGTCATTGATAAATCTACTAATTTTTTAATGCTAATAAAGGAATAAGTAAGCATAGAAGAAATAAAGACAAGCATCGATATTCTCTTGGTAACGTAATTTAAAAACAAGCTTGCGAAATTAAAAATTTCATATTGAGAAAGACAGACAATAGTGGTACAGAAAGTTATTTTTAGGTGACGAATAGTGAAAATCAGCTGGAAATTAATGTCAGGAGAAATCAATTTGAGAGATGCACAAAAAATAAAGTTAAACGAATCGAGGAGATTATTCAAGCCTTCGACGAAAAGGTATACATTTTTCATTTAAATAGATAAAGGATTTTATTATTATACTTTAATAATTAATATACAGATGGATAATAACAGGATAAGTATAATAATTTACAAATATGATCTTAATACAAAAAAGATTCATGATTCATCAAATTATTATATGCTGTGTATAAATGGGCATATTTAAAATGCAAACGAGTAATTAATTTAAAATACAATACCATCGCAACCTCGCCAAATAATATCGTATATGTATTTTATTCTTTTAAAATGTAAGATTTCTATTTCTTCTAATTGTACGAAACTTCATTTTTACTACTATTTATTAATCAATATATCACAATGATTTTATATTAATATATTAATATATTTAAAATATATTCTAATCATACAAAAATAAAAGCTTACTCTATCCTATTAGACATGAAATAAACGATGTAATTGAATTTCAAATACATTTACATTTATAATTAAAGCTTTAGTATAAATAAAATTATCATTTCTTCTAATATGCTGATAAACTATTTAAAGTTACTCTAAAACTATGTACTTACAGTTTATTAGAATAATATATAATAATACAGAAAAATAGAATTTTTCATCGGTAAGTCATTTTTTTAAAAAGCAATATAATTTATAAAATAATTTCAAATATATCATAATTTTTTTTTACTACATGGTATACTTTTTTAATTTAATTTTCATGCAAAATTGATGCATTCGGCACGCACCAACTTACTCTAATTACTAAAATGTGTTAATTTTATTCATGAAAATTTTTCATTTTAATCATTATAGAGAATCTATACATTAATTCCAAAACATAAATTCTTAAATAAATTAATAACGTGAAAACAAATGAACTTAAAGTATTTATTAAATTTTATTTTTATCCCATTAAAGTTTATACTTTATTCCATAATAACAGCATGTATATGAATGAATGAATTTTTTTATTTTCTACTAACAAACTTAATATTTTAATAGTGTAAGGATATATTGAAATATAGATCAGAGCTCCTTAAAAAGGGTTAGTTGAATTAAAAATTCTTTTTAATAATTCACTAACTGTATATTATTTTCATTATTTTACCATTTTTTATTTTAACACATATTTTAACAGTTTTATATTTGATAAAATTTCAATATCTAAATATTTATGATTATTCACTTAGTATGAATTAAATTAACGCTAATGAAGTGATACTATGTAAAATTTCATAAAATACTTACTATAGTACATAAAGGATATTTTAATAGCGTTAAAAAATTTTGTTGGAAGCATTGCTAATTTATTATAATATAATATATTATAATACTAAACTAAAATATACTAAATAATTTTTGGAATATATAGCATTTATTCAAAGAAGATACTCACGTTGTTCGACAAAAATTTGGTTTTCTGCAAATATTTGTAAAAATTATATTATTTATCACAATGCCATATTTTAACCTAAATTAACATTTTTTGAAAATTATGGAAAAATTATAAAAAAATATTTATTATGCTTAATTAAAAATCCATCTTTCCATGTACTTTTATATATTTTCTTGCAAATAATCAACATAGAAAATATTCATAAATCTTTGATTTAATTTTCAAAATTATTTTACTATTAAAACTCTCAACTTATATAATTAAAAATCTCCTTATATTTAGTATGAGAATTAAAGATCTATCCGATTATATTTCACTCGTTATTTACAAATGTAATCATTGAATTTGAAAATAGTGTAGATTTTAATGATAATGTATTAAATTTAATTTTATACTAAACGAGATTATATTCCTTTATAGGCATATTTTCACGTGCAAAGATTTTTACGATAATTTCGTACTATTTTTGTATGTGCAAAATTTCAACTTTTCCTGGATCTTCTAATAGAAATAATTTTGTAATTTAATTGCCTTTTTAATTTTTGTAAAGCAAATGGTGCGTGCTATTATGCAATAAAAATATTTATTATTCATGCCCATAACAAAGAAATTAATCAAATCACACTAAAAAAGTGTTGCATAATAAAAAGCATATTAAAGTAGCTTTTTTTTTTCACAATAAGCTTACAAGCGAATAAGATTACAGGTATCTTTAATAATTAATTTACTCATTTCATTTTTTATTCCCACAGTTGGAGAACTTAGAATTAACAATTATTTCTATAGATACATACAAATTATTCACATCATATGAATAACTGCTTATTTTGTAGATTGGAAAAATTATTTACCTTACTTAAAGTTCTTGTAATAATTGTGCATAATATAACATAAAAAAATCGAGTTGTATTTATGTTTTTAATAACATTTCGTTAACGAAGATTATAAAAAATATATATATCTTGGATAATTAATAGATTAATTAATTAATAAAACATTATTACATGAATAATTATAATGAACGCAATAAAAGATTATTTATAAATAATATAAACTTTTTTGCTTATAAAACTATTACATTTTTTAAACGTAATATAAATTAGTTTCTAAAAACAATTTAACATTTATACTTCATTACTAAAATAAGAAATTTAATTTTTTTTTTTTTTTTTTTTTATTGTTTAGAATGAAGTAGCTTCATGTTTTATTATTCGAAATGATAATGAAACAGATGTCTAGATTCTTTAGTCAGATTTGATTTAATTATACGAACTTAACAAATAAATTCACTAGCTTGTTTACATACTCCATTAAAACTCACGCTATACAAGTTTCATTTCCTTCATCGGTGACAAAGGGACATCTATTATTTATTATCAAAATTAATCATATAAGTAGTTTATATATATAAACACATTTATTATCACAGAACCTTACATTGATGGAAACGGTAAACGAAAACAAATTAAAATTGCTTGTGTATTATTTGCATTTAACAAATCAATTGTAAATAATAATCTATATTTATTATTGGAATGTTTAATGAAATCATTTTAAAATAATTGCAGTAAAATAAAAATAATTAATTATTGTAATAACAACAAGTTCTTCTCTCAAGTTATCTTCAAATCCAATCAAATATTCTAATATTATTTTATGTGAATTAATTATCAATTAATGTCTGTGTCGTTAATAATTGCTTGATAGAAGTAAATATACTTTAGCGCATTTATGTTTGTATACATAAAGAAATACCATGAATAGTTTAATATTGTTATTATTGAGCAGGATTACTATCAATTCGATGTTATAATCTAAATTTGTTTTCATTTACTGAATCATCCACGGGAAGAAGAAGATATACATAATATAAATATACATTTACAAAAAAATTTACAATAATAAATTTTGAATAAAGTGAGAAATTGAGAGTTAGAAGATAGATAAAAATTTATTAGTGTACACAATAAACAATAATATAGATTTGTTTTTCAATATAAAGAGATTAACGTGTGCATGGAGTATATTTGTAAATCCATAAAAGTAAATTACATATGCATATGAAGGAACGAAATTTTTTGAAATTTATCATTATCAATGAAGGTTACGCATACGAGTAAGAAATAATGTACGCAAAATTTAAAGTCAATCGACATAATGAATTAATAGAATAGTAAATCTGTCATTTTATTATTAAGAATATTTTATTAAATATCCGTACATTCTCGTGAATGGGATGCTATCGTGTAAATATTTTTCATTAAACTCTACATGTAAATCGACGATTTCCTATTTCGTGGAATTTCAATCGATTCCAATATAATCTCTGTGTGTAGTGAAATAAAATGCCTTTTCATCTATGGATATGGATAAAGGATATTTAAAAGTATATTACGTACATTATGTATATGAGCCAAGGCTAAAAACTTTAATCTCTTGGCAATTGGAAAAGTGTGCGGCCTATAGCGGCCAGCTAACTACATTTATACATAACTGTTTCCGTACTAAAATTTACCGGATAAAGTGGATTCACGGGAATGTCCATGCACACGTTACCCTGGCCCAGCGCAGGCCGTCCATCGTCCCCAGAGGCAGGGGACCTTGGCACGGAGGTCCCTCCCAGCACAGTATGCACAAGGTATTTATTGTAAGGCTCAAGCATGAGGGAGGACTGGTCGCAAAGGTTCAGTGATTTGGTTTGTGGTCGTGGCTACTTACGAGCTTCCATCGGAATTCGAAATGGAGTTAAGGCTGCCGACACTGTCGCTCGGGCAGGCGCTGGACGGTGTCTGTCTAGCCCGGCTGGGGCTCGAGGTTGCGGCACGCGGTTGGCAGCTCGGCATCACCTCTTGAGAGCGCTGTATCGTGCTCGGGGTGCTGTTCCGCTTACGGCCCGAGGTTGAAGTCGTTACGGGGCCCCAGCCGGGTAAGTTCTGGCCCAGGGTCACGCTGCCGCTGCTGTTGCCGCCGATGCCACCGCCGACGCCGTCGCTTCCAGCACTGCATTCTGAGGGGGCGGTACGTCGATTGGTATTGGTCATAATGCAAACAACAAACAAAAAGAAGAAAAACCATGGCTGACTAGAGTGTCAAACATTGTTGGGGACAGTCGACGAAATTTGTTACACCGGTTCTTGCACATTACGTTGTCCCTGTAAATTCACTTCATCGCTCGCAGTCTTTCCTGGCCGAATCTTGGACTTTAACAGCGAACTTATGGAATACTTTGGATTGCATCGAAAAGATCGCTTGATTTATTAGAAATCATCAAATACGATATCCATGTTAAATTTTAATGCATAAAATCACATGTCGAGTTTTTGTAAAACACCTAATTAGCGTTAAGCCTTACAGTATTTATTATGGCTGTCACGCTTAAATTTTTGATGTTTTTTCACTAATTTCTTCTATACTTATTTACTTTATTAGCGATCAGCTACTTTTCCTATATTTTTATTTTTTATAATTTTTATTCTCTAGATACCTGGGCACAATTATTATAAGAGGTAATTTTATATTATACATAGAGTATTTAGTGTGAAGTAATAGAAAAAAACATTTTCCCAAAATATTTATTTTTTATATGAAATTAGTTTTCACCACAATAAAGAATAGAAATTCATTTAATTTAAAAGAAAATATATGTATATAAATTTTGTTTCTTAAAGTAACTATTAACATATAATCGAATTTATTATTATAATAAACATGAAAAAAAATAATGAAAATGCATATTATTTTATATGTATATATATATATATATATATATATATATATTAATAAACATTAATATTTGTCCTTTGAAATATTTTTAAATATAGTATACTTGAATGCATTTCGATGTATTCGTAGAAATAAAAATTCAATTGGAAAATTCTAAAAGTATTCACAATTTTAATAATATTTGTGTTACAATTTTATTATAAAATTATAATTAGTAATGAATAACCGCTATATATATATATATTAATAATTAATGTTACATACAATATTTAACAGGATACTGGTACAATGTATTTTATCCAAATAAATGCTGAATTTGTGATTTTTTTTACTAATTACATTATATAATTATAGCTGTTTAAATAAAAAATTTGACAATGCTTAAGATTAAGTGCCAGATCTATGCTTCTAATATTCTATTATTACTGCTAATGGAACATTCAAAAATTTATTTTACAACATTATACTATGAAAATACTTAGCCAGCTCTAGAAGCTAGTGATTATTATTAAATACATAAGAAAAAGTTAATTGAAAATAAAATCAAATTTCTTTGATTTTTATTCGACCAGATAATATTAATAAAAACAACTAATAAGCACACAACAAATAATTTCTAAAACAACTATATTTGGTTATATCGACAGCTTAAATATTATTTACATTCCCTAAGGCATAAGCAAGTTATAAATCAATAATGACTGAACTAATATTCATTCTCTCACCTGTTTTTAAGGAATCTTTTCCTTATTGGAATAATTTAACGAGTTTAGCATCCTTTTAAAGATAATTTTTGTATTATACGAGATTGAACTATATTTAATTTCAAATCAATTTTATGCTAATTCCTAAAATAAATCACAAGATTTTAAATTCAAGCCATTTCACTAATTTACTAGTGAAGATAAATAATAATTGTTTTCAAATTCTTGATAAAGGAAAAAGACGCTCTGTTTGCTATAATAATTAAAATTCTTCTATCATAATTGGAAAATTATAATTATATTTACTTTTTTTTTTTTTTTTTTTTTTTTTTTTTTTTTTTTTTTTTCCTAATAACTCCTGATATTTTTTTTATGTTTTTGAAAATATTTCTGCTCTTCTCCTTCCAGTGACATGTTTCATAATTCATCGTCGAAGGCTCTTTCATTTCAATTCTTAACAATTTCTTGCACATCAAGTTAAGATAACTTTTGCTCCTTATAATTTCAATACTTTTGTTAATGGAATACATCGTTCTGATATTTTTAGGCCAATTTTAAATGCTCGATTGACTTTTTATTCTATATATCTGCTATTTAATATTACTATAATATTAAGAATATAAATTCTTCAATAGAATCTACAATTTGTAATGGGTTTTTTGTTTAAATCTATTTCTTTTGATTTTCTGATATAACAAATAAGTAATTTATTTGTTATCTCTTTTTGTAATGATGAATGTAAGATGAGAATCGAGACAACATTGACAAATGTGCGAAAGTCAATGTATGCGAGGGTCAATCGCGCACAGATCTCAAGTTCAGAGAATATCGAATGCGACATAATATCAAAAAGAAAAAATACTAAAGTGGGAGCCAGAACTACGTGGATGAAAAGACAAGAAGAGTCTGCCTCTCGGTGAAAGAGGAGAGTCGTAATAGAAAGTGCCTCGGACCTGTCCATGTCACCACATCCTTCACCCTCGCCGTCACTGCTCGCCGAGCTCGTCTGCTTGGCACTTCGACCACCCGACGTGGAGTCCGTTTGCTGCTGCTGCTGTTGCTGCTGCTGCTGCTGCTGCTGCTGTTGCTGCTGCTCTGGTAGCACTTCCTCGCTCCTGTGAACTGTAAATGACGACTTCCCCTTCTTCCCGAAACCGAGTCGTCGCTTGCGGCCTTCCTCGCCCACGCATGTATCACCAACAGACATGTTTTACGGTTAACGCTTTGCTTTATCTTGATAGCTTCGACAAGCTTTGCCGACTTTGTTATTCTTAGCTATCGCTGGCTACCATATGGGTTCACAATTTAGTAGTCGAGGATGCAATTATAACTCGTTAACGCGGTTGTCTTTAACTTTTTTAATTTTTTGCTAAACCTTTCGTGTGCTTGGCTGAACGGAAACTTACTCTTAGGTGCCCTTTGACGCTTTTCGATAACAAAAAAAAAAAAAAAAACAAAATTCATAAATTTTGATATCATTTATAAAATTCTTCATTGAACCAATTGATTCGTAGTCTTTATTTTATTAATTTATTAATGGAAATCTACATGTGAGTGTGCCGTTGTTGTTTATATATGTCTCTCGTATATCATCTGTAAGAATGTCACGTTAATAATAAATGCAGATTCATCGATCATTTATACGCTAATGACAAGTATTTTTATTTTCAAATATTCTAAACTAATATTGCGTGATATTATTTTATCGTGCGTGTGAATATCGTGTGTACAGAAAGATTTTATTAAAAATTTATTTAATTATCATCTTCGTTTTTTTGATTGACAATAGTTAACATACTCACAAATGTATTATGTATCATAGCTTTTATGAATTCTATTTGTCAAGACTGTTTCGTCTTTTCATGAACTATCGTCATTAAACGAACAAAAATCTGCAATTAAAAAAAATTAACGAATACGAAACAAAGAGGATCGACTCTGCGAACATTTTACGCACGATTTTCAATTTGTTTATAACGAGTAAAACAAACAAAAGAGAAAAATTAATTAATCTAGAAAATATTACTTTCCCCTTAGACAAAGTAATTATCTATAAATACAAAAGGAATTGAAATGGTTCATATAATGTTTCAATAACCGATGCCAACTACCCATTGTATTATACATTCCACTTAACTTTTTAAATGCTCAACATGTTCGCCTAAGCAATGTAATGCTTGGACGGAAAGGGAGAAGGATATCGAGTTTTAGCGTGTAAAATAATTGGATGTCGATAAATGTTTAATGTTTGTGAGTTACCTGACGCTGACAGCTGACTCGTGCTGTTACTCTTCTTGCCCAAGGCCGGCTGATACTGAACGATTCCGATACTACCTCCGCTACTTCCACCCACGACACCACTTCCGCCAATTCCGCCGCTTCCACCGCCTCCTACTTCCCTACTGCCGATGCTATTTTTCTTGTTGTTTGGCGAATTTTTACGGCCTCGTCTTGAGTTTTCCTCCACGTGCAGGCCGACCGCTGTATCACTTAGACTGCCGTCTGCACATCAAGTAATACTTAAGTGACGGCCGGCCACCAGTCCAAGTCTTTCCCCTCAAATTCCCAACTTAATTCATTAGATATTTGATTGTTATCTATCTTTATTATTCGTTATGCGTGATAAAAAATTACGCTTCACTGAAATTAGCTGCTTTAATTTTTTTTTTTTTTTTTTTTTTTGTATTCTTTGCAAATCCTTCTACATCGAGTTTTAAAATATAATTATGTTTATTTGCAATATTGCTTAAACTATAGTGATTTGTTAGACTGAAATTAATACGTAAAGTGTCCTGGCCTCTTATTTATATGCAAGTACGAAATGAAATGAAATTTAAAATCACGTAACTCAGTCGAATTTCATAAAAAATTGCAATAATAATAAAAAAATCATACGCAAATTTCAGTTAGTACAATACATAATACATCAATTATATAAAATATTGGTAATAATTTAAACAATGTATTTCCACATTCTTTAAAAGCATATATATTTTTTAAGAGTATTCGTACATTTTAATATAGCGTATGGGAAAATATGCATTTCTACATCAAGTTTTACCTATATAAACAATATATAAATATCATTATCATCAATTGGATCAAGTTACGTATTAATTTGAATTATATTCATTTTCATTAAGACAAATTTCGTGATATCGTACAAATGAACAGATGCATCTAATAGTTATAAATAAAGAATTAATATTTCCTTTATATATTAAAAATATAGAAAATATTGTTTCATTAAATACAACAGTCTTCGTTCTTTCTTTTTTTTTTTTTGTTTTTTTTTTTGTTATTTTTTTTTCTTTTGTCGCGTGAGTTTATTACACGAATTCAACTTCTTAAATATAAAATAAACAACGTAATGTCTTATTATTTACAATTCTCATGTATAAAAGTAATTCAGGCATTATTGAAAGAAATGACAATCAGTCTTGACTGTTCGCTCTTAATTATCGGATGAAAGATCATAGTATTATTATTAGTTAGATATTAGTTATTAATATATATATTATTAAAATGTAAAATTATTGATGAAAATCAAACGGTCTATTGTTTTTCTATCTGCGGTATTTCATTTTCTTTTCTTCAACGAATTGTTCGATAAATAAATACAGTGCTACATTGTGAAAATTTTGCAGCAAAGAGTTATGATTTTGAAGTTGTAGACTTTCACCAAGCAATAACATAAGGCATCAAAAAAAAAAAAAAAAAAAAAAAAAAAAAAAAAAAAAAAAAAAAAAAAAAAAAAAAAAGGAAAAGAGTGTAAAGGATTTAATTGAATATCATTAATCGATAGACATATTTCTACATACGTATAGACATTTTTATACGTATAGACATTTTTCTACATACGTAAACTCGAAATAATTATAGAGGGAATTATTGATATAACTCTGCGGATAAATTAAGCACAACGGCGTAGTAAGTACTTACCGACATTCTCGTCCGCGGGCGCTTCGGCATTACTGAAACTCCTTGCGAACTGGCCTCTCTTAACGCTGCCGTTGCGTCGTTCGTTATCATCAATTGGATATCTGCTTGGCTTGTCGTACGAACCGCTCGGGCTTGCGTAGTCACTGCATTCGGGCATAGAGGACGAGCGTCGATTATTGCATCGGTTGTCGTCGTGTCGCGGTGGACAATGTGGATCATCGTCATCCATTTGCATCCGCGACATGCGGCGACGCGAAGGATTGCATTTGACGACGTTTGCATAATCGCCATTCGTATTCGCAGCGTGGCGCAGTTGCATTTTCGTCACGTGAGCCATTGACGGCGGTGATGGTTGTGGTAAATTAGCGTGGTAGTGGTGGTGGTAGTGGTGGTTATGACGATGATCATCATAAGTGGTTATGGTGGTGGTATTCCGCGGAGTTTTAGCAGTGTCGGAGGTAACGGTTTGGGAATCAAAGACATTTGAATTAGCGTTACCGGGTCGGGGCGCTCGCTCATAGGGCCTACGTGGATCGCACGGGCCAAATCCGCAGTTCTCGCTGCACTGGCTCTCGCTCTCCATCGAGTACTCGTAATACTCGAGGGTGTCGCTGATCGCCACATTCCGCTTAACGTTAGCTTGCTGTTGATGATGCCGATCCTGACAAATTCGGCCCATTTCGTTGCGATCGACCGTTTCGAGTTCACGAGCCTCTGGGCAACTGCTGTTTCGCCTTCTGTATCTACTCTTCAAATCGTCGAAATCTTTCCTTTTGCTTCTGCGTGCTCGATTTTCCTCCATTTCAATCATATTGGCACGACATTTATCGCAGCTGATTTTTCTTTTACTTCTATGCACGGTATTGGCATTATCTCCTGCCTCTTCTCCATTGCGCATAAAGTAATTTTTATTTCTTGAATTAATGCCACATATTGGTTTATGCAATTGCCTTGTGCATGTGGCATCTATTACAGTCTCCGTCGATCCAAACTCCTCATCCGACTGTAAAATGTAAGTCGTTCTGTCGTCGTCGTCCTCGTCGTCGTCATAGTTGTCGTTGTAGTGGTTGTCGTTGTCGTTGTCGTCGTGCTCGACATATTCGTCATCGTAATACTTAGTTGTTAATGCATCTTCTGCACATTTGCCTATTAGTTCCCTTCTCTTGGGGCAACTGATGTTTCTTCCATGGCGATAATGTCGTCGCGACTGTTCATATAATTGTACCGAGCTGCGCTCTTCATCGGAATGTAAAATCGGCGTCGATTCTGTGCGAGCAAGTGTGATTTTTCGCGTTATCTCGTTTGATTTTGGTAAGGGATTCCTTATGTAAGGCACATTTTCGTAGTAAGGTTCCGTTGCCATCGTTACGTTACGATTTCCACTATTTCGATGTCCGTCCAAAGACAAGTGATTCATGTATTCGCTATTTCTACAGGATTGTCCATTGTATTCGTCGTAATTGCATTGTTCTCGATCTAAATTATCATACAGATCTATGGTATAGTTGTAGCGATTTTTGACAGAATCCTTACAATTATCGTATATTGCGTAATCGTCGTTGAGGTAGGAGTCGTTGCTTTTGGTACGCCTTCGTAGCTGCGTATTAGCTTTATGATTATACGTAAAATTGGAGCCAAAATCACGTGATTTTATTGCAGAATTTTGCCATTTCGGTAATTCTGCAATTTCATCACGATAATTATTATAATGCGGTTGATATTGGGACGCCGATCGAATTTCATCGATGCTACAGTAAATATGATCGTTGGCGTTAGATATATCGTTATAAATCTCATTGCCAAAGTCATCGGCGATTGGCTTTCTATCTGGCGATTTGAACCAGCCGTGGCTTGAATGATCATTGTACTTTCGCTTACACAGATCATCGCGCTGATAATCATAGTCGTTCGATAAGTATATCTCAGTTTCTCCGCAACTCAACTCGGAATCGTAGCCATACATAAATATCTGTTGCTCGTTTTCGCCGACGAATATATCATTACTTTCATCATCGTCGATCATTAATTGCAAATCCTTTTCCCTTGACTTTTTCTTATTAAGATCTCTAATGATCTTAGCATCGCCATTAAAATCGAAATATGACTTGCTTTGATCCTTAAGAGCTGGTATTCTATCACCATATCCTTCATCGCTCAACGACATGTTCTTTTTGATTTTCTGTCGGGCGGTGTGCAAACTGTCGTCGCTGAATATATTGCCCGAGATACTTTGGTATTCGAAGCTCCTGCTCCTGCGCGCTAATAGCCCCTTGCCAAAGTGCCGGTCGTCGTCATGTAACATCCTCGTTGCGTAATCGTTGTCGCAGGCGGCATCGTAATCGAAGCTTTGCGCCTTGGAAGAGAGAAGGGATCTACGCATGCTCGATTGGTGGGTAATCGGATAGTCGAGGCGAGGAAGAGTTCCATTGAAGAAAGAATTTTTGTTTTTACTGATTGTACTTGCACTGCCAAGGGCTGCTCTACTGCTACTGCCGTTAAGTACATTACCACAACAATGTGTACCGCGATCCTGCCAGCTACGCGACCTCGCGTGTGAGCTTGCGATTGATGGAACAAAGGATTTGTAGGGTGCTGATGAGCCAGATGACGTCACAGTTATATCCCCGTAATGGCGATTTTTCGCTCGAAACTTTTCAATCAGTCTCTTATTAAAGTTAACATTGAGACAGTCTTCTACGTATATTTCGGGTATTCGGCTCTTACGGCCCCGTGGTTGCGTTAAAGGCTCCGGCTTGAGGAGGAAGCCCTCGCTGATACTGTACTCGCTGGTTTCGGGACTGTAGTAGCGCAGCACTCTCTCATCGACGGTGTGAGAGCGAGTGAAAGGGGCTCGTATCCTCTTGCAAAGCGAGCGTACGACTGCGGACTTGCTCCGTACGAGGGGATTGCGGTGCGGGGGAAGATGATAGTGGTGCTTACTGTTTGGGTAGTAATTGCTCCTAGGCTTACAAGGATTGTTACTTGGGCAATGGCATTCACTGCAGGGGACCCTAAGTCGGTGCTTACGCCTAATGCGCCTAGGGGGTGGGGGCAAGGGGGATACGACTCCGGGTACAAAAACGCTTTTAACTGTCGGTCTGCAAATAATTTTGTTCATATAAATTTATACCATTCTTCGCATTATGTACATTAAACTACAGCATTTTTGTTTATTATTTTTGTTGGTTTACTGATTGGATGATGATTGAGTAAAGTGTTAAAGGGGTTTAGGGAGGGAGCCCCATTCTTTCTCTTTCTCGGCATTTATCGGCTAAACGTATAGTATAATGATAATCATATTTACTTCAGGTCGATCGAACTAATTATCGAGCTAAATAACGAGATGGTCTCTGGCCATAATAATTTTTCGAGCTTCGAGTCATCCAGCTTGAATCGTAATTGCAATAATTAGATAGAATGCGAAAAATTGCACAAAAAAAAAGAGTAAACAACCATAACTCTCGTTATAACAATGAGGAGTCACGTACGTAACAGAGAGAGTGTGAGAGAGAGAGAGAGAGAGAGAGAGAGAGAGAGAGAAAATGAAATTAAATCGTTCAATCGACGTTGCAAATCAATTCCTCTTATAATCATCTACTAGAATGGGACGCTCTTTTCAATGTATTTGTTATTATTTCTATCTCTATTAAATGGACATTAATGCAGTGTTTCAGATCAGTGCAGCTAATCGACTAACATATATAGATATCTAACCTACTTTAGATTAATTAATCGCGAGGAAAGTCTATAATTGAGAGGGAAGCGGAAAGCAGTATAAGCAAGCAGAACGAGAACGACTTAAATATCTAACTATAAGTAATGCTAAGGGTGCAATCCATCATTACATTAATTATAATACAAATTAAATTATATAATTAATACGATCAATTATATAATATTAATTTCAATTATAATCCACAATGTCCATTTAACTTTGGAATTATTTTCCACAAAGTAAGTCTAAGCTATCAGACAGACTCTTGTCAAAACTCACGCGTTTTGCGATTTTTCTTTAATTTTTTTTTTTTTATTTTTGTTAACCATTATTCAATTTCCCGAAGCATTAGCGGCCCGAGTAATAAGTGAAAAATAGACAAATCAACATTTGACGCTCATATAGTCGTAATAACATATGACTGTATATTAAACGCAAATTAGTCTGAGAGCTGCTTACTTTATCATTTACATGTGTGAACTTTGTACGATGAGAAACTGATGCGTATTGTACATGCGTACATACGTGCGCATATATATGTGTATATATATGTACGTATATAGTGGTGGTCGGATAATGAAGTGTTATGGAATTGAATAAATACTCACATTAATCCTCGAGAGCCACGTGGTCTTTCGGATTGCGTGCTAAAGGCACTACTCGTTACTGACGCGATGCTTTCCATGTCGGAGTCACCTAGATCGGCCAAGATGTCCTTTTCGGGACTCATGTGGCCTCTTCTTATTCTAGGCATTCTGTGAACATGACCGTGCGATAGCGAATGGATTTCGTGTCCCATCGACGGTAAATCAGAATCTGACAGTCCGCTGAATCGCCTATCCCAACCTGCAGTCAATACAATCGTTTCATAACGTCGCAAACATTTAAATGCATGGAAAATCGTGCACTTTGCATTATTATTGTTATTATTATTATTATTATTATTATTATTATTATTATTATTATTATTATCATCATCATCATCATCATCATCATCATCATCATCATCATCATCATCATCATCATCATCATCATCATCATCATCATCATCATCATCATCATCATCATCATCATCATCATCATCATCATCATCATCATTATCATTATCATTATTATTATTATCATTATTATTGTTATTGTTATTATTATTATTATTATTATTATTATTGTTATTTAATGCATTATCGTAAAAGCGAGTTGTATTGAGTTTTTCTGCACTCATTACTATGTCAAGATAATATTATGTAAGTATGAGACTAACATTGAATGTTTACACACTAATAATTATAAATCATCAGCGTGTGTTGTTTAAAAAATTGTTTACTCTTTAAAAATTCACTCGATTCATTTATAATGATGAATATAACATGTTAATATTCGATTATTTGTCAATTCAGACGTATATTTCATTAATTAATGAAAGAAAAAAGAAAAAAAGAAAAAAGTCACTATTATTCTATTGCCATAGATCTTATACATAATTTGCAATAATTTTAAATCATTGTTCTGAATTATCAGTTGGTCATTATTAATTAAATAATATTATAATTTGCTGTAACGAATGATGCTGGAAGATTGAGAAACAAACGGGGCAGACGAATAAGGGCTTAAATTTCAGCGACCGTTCGCTAATGATTCGACGTTTAATTGTCATTAAAAGTAACACATTGGCATTAAAGTATCGTGAAATAATAAATTTAACATTACGTTCGATCACACAGGGCCACGTAGCACGCAATAGCTTTCGAGTTGTTGTACGATCAAAGAGATATTTATGTGAGCGAAAAGATGAAGGTGCGCTGATAAAACTTTGTCGTCGTCGTGTGGCCGAGAGCTTCCTAGGAAACGGAGCTTTTGGTTTGGAAAAGAACGTTTTGCCACTTACCTCCCACTCCACATCTGTAAATTGTATTAATCGGCCGATTGCGATGCCTTATAAATCTTGCTCTCTCCTCCAAATCATGAGCAACGCGTTCTTTGAGGGCAGCATGCAAGTTGGCTGGTATTTGAGGCAGCTGGCGCTTCTTTGGCGAGCCTGTGGGTGTTGCCGTAGCGGATCTAGAACCAAATCTTATCGAATAGTTAGGTGTTATGGTTAAAATACATGATTCGTGACTCATTTACGACCGATCGATTATAATGAGAGGCATTCGAGTCGCGTTGGCAGCACTAAGGAATCTAAAATCTTAATAAAGTTTCTCATCTGTGCGCGCATGTATGGGTATGCATAGTGCATTCACGAAGCACTTTCACGTATTTAGGGATAACGAAAGTGCCAATGTCACCTCTTATAACGAAGTCGTAAAAACAAAGGGTAAAAAGAAAGAAGCCCGAGGCCCTAAAAAATAGTTATCTTTCGATACTTTGTAGAAAAGTGCGTGTGACGAACCTCGCTGGTAAATATGCGGATGAGAAAGGCATAGATCTGTGGTCCGGTGGCGAAAGGGAACGATGACCACTAGGACTTTGTGACCTTCTACGGTATCGCAGACTCGACGAGTCCATTGGAGCAGCGCTATGAGATCTGTGACTGAGTATTGCCGTACGATGTGGCTCATCCTATAAGAATGCTGGGAGTTAGAGTTGGTCGCTCTCGCGCTATCATATCGATCGCTTGTCGAGCTCAAATTTTCATTATTGCAAATTTCAATCGTTCACTCGCTCGTCCATATTATCGACAATATTACAACCAACTAAATCGATCGAAATATTACTTTTTAGCCATTTTATCTTTTCTTGCTTCTTTACTCTCTATTTATTGGAAGAATCGCGAACAGTGGATGCATGCTTGTTCGAAATATGAATTTTTGCAAATCTAATACGCGCATCGCGAAAGTCGCCGGTAATCTTACAACTGTGCGTTAAACAAGCAAGTAACAACATCACCGCGCATTCGTATAATTAGCCTAATATAATAAAAAAAAAAAAAAAAAAAAAAAAAAAAAAAAAAAGATAATGTGATTGTACATACGGAATACTGTCGAAAATTGACCTTTCGGTAATGCTGGTATCCGGATATGGAGGCGGGCTGTTCCCGCGAGCCCATGAGGGCGGCGCGCTTCCGACCCTGGGGCGACATGTCTCTACGACTTCGGTGCTCACCATCGACGCATAATTCCTTCTCCGGCGGCGGGCTGGAATAGTGGCTGCTCCAGCAGTTATATCGGGCACAATTACATTACAATTAGATAACTCGATAGATAAGCGAGCTCGCGCGCTTATTACGTATACTAGCTTTTGCGAATTTAGCAGCTATGACCATTGCTTACGCACTAATTGTGATTGTGAGAATGTTGCTCGGTAGATAGGTCATTTTCACCATTTTACTTCGTTTGATCAATTTTTTGTGAAATAATCTCAAACAACCGTTACGAACGATCGGTCGCGATATCGGCATTATTCCAGCTCGACCATCACTCTCTACTATTATTGCATGTATTTAATAATTGATTAAGCAAGAATTAATGGTGATTTATAGTACAATTGCAACAAATTAAAAATATAAATATAATAATAATTAGTGAAAACAAATTCACATCCAAACGCGCGCGCGCAAGCGCGCAAACACACATTTTAATGTAAATAATTTGAACATATTATTCACGATGAATCGTAATCATGTAAATGACCCAGCTATATTTTTCATAATAAATTAATACAAAATAAATACTTGAGTTAACAAATTACTATAATGGATAGATTATCTCATTATATTTAAATGCATTCTACAAACATTGAATATTATGAAAGTAGATTAAAAACAATTTTAAAACGTTCACGATAAACAGAACAATAATATATTTCATGTAATGACTAAAAATTATTAAAAAGAAATAAAAAAAATTTTACTATTGTCATTTGCACTTTAATTTTAACGTATTGGATGTAGGTGAGAGAAACATTAAAATCTTTTTTTTCCACAATTTAAATTTAATTAACACTATTATTGAAACCACTGTATATAAATGCTGTTATTATCAAATTAAAAATACATTACTTGTTTCATATTAAAAAGAATGAAATAATCTTAATCCAACAAATTTTTCAACTAATTTTTATTTAAAATGACTAAGTAAATAATCTATCGGCGTGCATTTTTAGCGATGACGTTAATACATATGTATGTATAATAAATACAGTGCGTGTTTTAATGGAGGAAGTCATATTTTTCACTAAGAAGCCATATTTTTTTTTCTCTCTTTTTGCACAATTTATAACTAAATATTTTTTATGGCAAAATTGACGTAATGCATGATATTATGTGCATGGTAGTATTATTTATAAATGTATTTGTAACTTATACTAAAAATAAAGTAACAATGAAATCATTACATCTCGTGAATTAAAAGATTTGCTAAACTATTGAGCTATAAGTATGAAAAGTATTATATAATATTAAATAATTAAACGAAAGATTTATTAGTGAATTTGAAAATTATAATTTACTATAAAATGTAAATACTGAAATAATATGTCTAACTTAAATTGTTTTTTGGTACCAAAAATAACAATTTGGTCAAATATTGAAATAATCAATGCATTTTATAAAAAATTAGTTAAGATTTTTTAAGAAGCCTGATATTGTAATAAACAATCATGAAATTTATATTACTTTATCAGCATAATTTAGTAATGGTAAATTAAAACTTAACGTTAATTGTGTAGAGAGGTTGGCATTTGTTACAAAATATATTTCGAAATTAAAATACATTAATTTTGAAATTTTTTTCATCAATTAGTTGTATTGATAATTATTAAAGATAAGAATTTGAGGCTCCGTAAGTCAGGTCTTCTATGTTCTAATCATATTTTCACTTGGGATTAATTAACTATTAATAATGTGCCAAAGATTCTAAACAATATCTAATGGCAAATAAAAAGAGAAAAAAATTTGACGAATAAATGCCTGTATGAATCATGAAACAAAAATAGAATATTAAATAATCCTACCGCTTATAATTTGGCGGCGTATTATGAAACCTAAAATATAAATACATAAGTATATAATTAAAATAAAATTTATTAACTTGTGATGTTCAATTTTTTATATTTTTTGTTTAAGCTTTTGAGAATATATATATATATATATATATATATATATATACTTATATATAACATAAAATAAATGCATAATTAGTATTTGAAAATTTTTTTTACCTTTTATCCTAAGCATTAGTGTATGTTAAACAATATCTTATAACTAATTAAATGAAATTAGTATTAAATAGTTTTAAGTTTGTGCAATTAATATAATTTCATTCATTCAAAGCTTAATAATTTTCATCTACTATTTACTACTAATTTAATCATATGTGCAAAAAATTATCCAACATACAATCTAAATAATTATATTATCTTATTTAAAATATAAAATTATTATAATTAAAATTATTTATTCTAGGACTGTGTATACTTTTCAATTTAATGAAGGTCTATTCTAATTAAAAAAATTTTTATATTATTTTAAAATACAAACAGCTTGCACGTCTTTTAAAGAATTATGAACGTCATTTTTCTTTCTCCGACAAATAATCATGTTTTATAAATAATTATATTAGAACAAATAAATAATCATTTTTACGAATTAATGTCAATAATTCGTAATCAAAGCTGTCTTATTGCATTGATGATTGAATGCTTTTAAACAGGAAATACGATAAATATATGAAATACAGTAAGTAGAATTTATTGAGTGTCGCATCTTGCGTACGATGCTCGAATGAATTTATCAATGTAATATGAAACCCTTTTCACTTATCCTATTAGACCATATTGAACGTTTTATTAAGTGTGTGCATTTGGTAATGGTGGTGGTGTGACAGGAGCCAGCGGTAGAAAGAGAAATAACTGAAGCGAAGGGATTAAAAGTGAATAAATTAGGTTAGTTTTGGTACTTGCTGTTTAATACATTAATTATCAATCTGTTTGATTACAATCATTACAGATTTGCAGTAAGAATATCTACTTCGCCTTACCTTACATTTACGAGTATTTAAATACATTATTACATTATCCATTACTTTATGTGATTCTTATAAATATAGTAAATAAATGTGGTAAGATTTTTGTATGTAAAGTTTCTACTGCAAAGGTGTTTTAGAATATCAATCCATGAATTTATTTACCATAATGGATGGTAATTTAAACACTAAATTATACTTAGCTATTTCGTTTACTGATTTATATTACTTTAGAAAGTTACATTTACTATCCATAAATGAATCACAAATTTGGTGCTTTTACATATGCAATATTATTTTATATAATTTGCAATTAATATATTTAATAAAGTATATAATTGTATGTACAATATGAAAAATCATTTAGCATTTTAATGATAAATCAAAGATTTTTTATATTTCTGGACAATTACGATATCTTTAGATATATTGCAATTGCGAAATACACTGTTTAAAATATTTTATCTTTACATTAGCTTCATAAAAAATTGTTTAATTATTAGATTAAAACAATTAAATCCTATTATTATTATTATTATTATTGTTGTTGTTGTTGTTGTTGTTGTTGTTGTTGTTGTTGTTGTTGTTGTTGTTGTTGTTGTTGTTGTTGTTGTTTGTTGTTGTTGTTGTTGTTGTTGTTGTTGTTGTTGTTGTTGTTGTTGTTGTTATTATTTTTATTTTGTAATTGTTAAATTTTAAAGGCCACTTCTAAGACTAACGAAATATCCGAATATATGGGTTGCATATACGTATATATGAATGTGTGCGTGCGCGTATTTATGTATATTGATTAAAAAACAATTTGATTTTAATTTCTAATTATCACGATGCATTAGATAGTAAAGCAGAAGCCGATGTTCTTTATAGCTTTATGAGAAAATAAAATAATAAGATCAACCTGCTATACGTTAATGGAACTACAAAAAATAAATATATAACAATATACGATCGCAGTTGTGGATTAATCCGGCAATTAAGAGCAATACAAGGTGAACTACTTTGTTGTTTTTTCTTTTACTCCTCATTCATTTATCGGGATACTCACAAATCATTGACAGAAGACAGCAGTGGCTTGGAAAATGATATGTAGGCACACATTTTCGCCCATCAAAAGGGAAAAGAAAGAAAATATTATTTGAATTTGAAATAGATCCGAAAGGGGAGAGAAGAGAAAAATTTCGTGCCAAGGTGATCGAATATAATCTAGAGTCGACGATGGTTGTAGACTTACTGATAGGTCAGTTAGTATGTTACCCAGTATCTTCTATCTTTCTTTCGCTAACTTCTATACCCTAACCTTCTTCTTTGCGTTTTTTCCCTCCCTCTTACTCTCGTCTTTTCTCTCCCTTCTGCATACTGCACGGTGAACGGAGAAACTTACGTCAACACGACAATGTAAAGAGCGACCTAATATTACTGTCACAATCTCGGACATAAAAAAGAGAATAAATGGTATAGATGTGTGACATTTCGTCAATTTCACAATAAATTTAATTGAAAAACGTTTCAATGGATTAACAATACACTAACTCTTTTATTGGAACGTTTATTATTGTTTAATATTTTAAATTCATTGAAACATTATATTAAAACACTTAATTTTGATCATCAAAAAATTTAGTACGATTTACAAAAAATTATTTTATTAATTTACTAAATTAAAATAAGTGTAGATATACATAAAAATATTTATATTTATATATTTCGTTAACGGTAGGGCTAACTTTAGAATGAAAATATAATTATAAGACATTATTATTTTAATTTGGAGATTTTAAATAGTAAATTAGACAATAATTAAATTTTAATTTAATAATTCAAAATATTATTAACAATCTGGAAGATTATTTAGTCATAAAATTAAAATAAATAAAAAAGTTTATTACGGCTGAATTATTACTAAAAATATTACGAATGCAAGACAGAGATTAAAATATAATTGGTGCACACATTTTGTAATTTTATATAAAAATATGTAATTTCGCCCGAGCATATTTCGTTTTTAATAGATTATAAGCTACATAGTTGAAAAGTATACATAGCGATTGTAAGAATGACCATGAGGATATTTTTAAAATTCACCTGGAGGAGCTGCCAATACTGCTAATACTCGCTCCATCGGCAGTTCTTCTGTGCTCCCTGGAGCCGTCACAGTCGGTTATGTCGCATTCCGACGTATCGGAGTCACTTAATCTCGATGTCGTTGACGGTGGACTCAGGTGACAGTCGCCCGGTGTCGTCACTATATCATCCGTCGTATCTTGATAGCAACTGAGTACACATACAAGAGAATATGTAATTTCTTTATTTATCAATTGGACATATTAGAGGCAAATACAATTTTCCATTCGTAAGAATATTAACGATAATTTGGGTGTAACGTTGCATTGTAACAATGAAAAATCGATAAAGTAACCGTGCCTATATCATTTTATACGTATTTATAATTAAAGTGTGAGCTGATTCTAGATATTTTATTCTATTTGATTCGAGATTTTATTGATCCACGTGCTTGCGTTACTTTAGCTACACAATTGATGAGTATATTATGATAGTTTACTCGAAGTTCTTTCATTCTTAACTTTCATCTAACTCTTAATACTACGAGCTTATTTTTAATAAAAACTGTATACCTTAAACTTCATTTTAGTTCTAATAGTAAATAATGTGTAGCGAATGAAATTGAGTTCTTCTAGAAAAGTAGCTTCTCGTTTCTCATTTACAATGTAATTACATTTATAATATAACTAATATATTGCAAACCAGCCTAGACAATAAAGGAAAGCAATACGTATACGTAGTATTAAAAAGTAATTAAAAAATTAAGTGTTCGACAATGTGCAATTTACCTTGTTTGGCGGTGTTCTTCATGAGCCATGAGATAATGCCATTCTGGATCATCATTAAGCGTTGAGGCCGCAAGATTGAGTATAATTTCACCAAGAAAGTCGTTCGCACCGTACCTTCCGTAATCCCATATAGTGATTTCGAGTGATCGCTGCCTTAATTCGGACCATCTAATACCGCTGTAGACGAATGTTTGGTCCCATCGCGGTTCATTTGTGTTTGCCAATGTCTTCGTTCGTTTTTTCGACTTTTCACTGAAATTATTATTTTATGTCCTGTATTTTTTATAAAATTATTCCTTACAGACTCAATAATGTATATTCAATCAATTATTTTAGTTTGCGGCAATGTTACTACGATATTCTTACTATACTGCACTTAATATTAACAATAACATATTCAACTTGTTAAAAAATTGAAAAGAATTAATTCCTTTTAAATTACTTACTTGGACATACTCTTCAAATGTATAATTAAAATTGTCAATTTTTAAAAGAATTTTATCAAAGGAATATTAGTTTAAAAATGGTTGACTATTATTATTTAGTGAATAATGAAGTAATATATAGTAACTTTTAAATTAAATAATTTTAATAATACATCAATAACGCTATATGGATTGCTTGATATTTCTTGATATATAACAGAAACAAATGACGAATAATACAAACAATTTCTTAAAGTATTTTAATATTATGGAAAAATAATAAATAGATAACTATGAAAAGTAATTTTAATTTCCCATTGAATTTCACATTTTTTACAATAGATTGCTCTTGCAGATCATATTGGAATTTAAATTACTTACAAATAGATTTCATATCCTGAACTAAAAGATAAGTATAAATATTACGTTCAATATTTAATATTTTTACTTATAAGAAAACAATACATTAAAAAAAATTATATTTTTTAGATAGTTTATAGAGGTGTTTTTGTGACTGAACACTTTGTAAAAGATCTTTTTTTAATTCTTTTTAGCTCTATGATGATACATATAAAATTTTCATTACTTTCAGAAATTTATTTATAAATATAAATTTAAATACTGTATTGTTCACTATTATTCAACACATATTAGTGTCATCTATTACTATCTATTTCTTAAGAAAATTTTATAGTTACTGAACAAGTAGTAATAGTCTGATTTAATCAGGCAAAAGTATTTCAAGAACAAGGCATATTTTTAAATTTATTATCGTAATTATTTATCTAATAATAGGATGCAATAGCATTTATATAAACAAGATGAATTTTCTAAAATATAAAATAATTGATTATTATATAACTAATAATAGAATTTCTATTACTGATGATGATCATTATCAATGAAAAAAAAAAAAGATGAACATATATTGACAATCATTTTAATAATCATTTTACAATTAAGAGAATTAATGCTTAATAATGAAAAACGTAATTATTCAATGGTGGATTAATATTCAATTTTTATTTTAATAAATACTATTTATAAAATATGCATAAATGTCTTTATATATACATTTACTGGTCTATTATTTTATTTAAATAAATAAATTTATTTATTATTATATTTATATTGTACAAAAGTAAGTGTGTCTGAAGTTTAATGATAAACAACGTCACTTAATTATATTGTTAAATTAATTATAAAATTCACGTTAGTGGATTATAGATTTTACAGTAAACTTAACAGTAATAACAAATGATATTAATTTTATACAAATATTACAGTTAGTTTAATTCAATTATAGTTAATTTCATTTCAATATATCTTATTTAATTAAAAATAATAAACACTTTATAGTCCGTGAAATATAATAATTAAATCAAAATGTGATTGATGATTTTGTATTTTGTATCTAAGTATCCAGAAAAGAAAGATTTTTATACAAAACAGAGAGATAATTATAGAATTTTAAATCTAATATATGTTATATAAGAATACTATGTATGAATTTCTATTGCACGATGTAATGGAAAAGAAGTAGCATTAATAAAGTTTTTTAAATAAAAGTTTGTACTTTATTTTAGCATCAGCAAGTGTATTATTTTTAAACACATTTATTATTATTATTATTATTATTATTATTATTATTATTATTATTATTATTATTATTATTATTATTATTATTATTATTATTATTATTATTATACATATTTAAAACATTCGTTAAGAATTTGAGTGCTATTTTGAAAAAATATTATTAAAAACACAATTCGTTACTAAATTATAAGTTATGAAATCCTTTTGGGTTAAGATGTAAATTGCGACTGGACATTGACAAGTAGGCGGTTATATGCTTTACCTTCTGTCAGGAAGAAGGTACATCTTAGCGTAGGAACTTCTTTGTTGGCCGTTGTTACGGGGTGTCAGTCCGGTCGCGCATACCAGCGTCACGGCGAGTTGCAATGTACTCGTGTCGAAGTTTAGTTTTATTTGTAATCTGCCGCCCACGCTGTTACCCCCTACTTGTTGGCTTGCCACGTGCGGCCGAAAGTGTCGACTGGATACTCGGCCCTGGGCATAGAGGTCCGGTGATCCGGGCGATGTCACGAGAACAGATGGCTTATTGCTCCGCACGTCGTATAACTCTGTGTGCGATCGATGGTATTTCGATGAAGTAGCCATATGCCCGCAGAAGGAATAATAATAGAGAAATACAAACGTTAGTAATTAATTTTGTACTTTTCCATTTGCCAAATTTTGAAGAAAGAACAGTTTAACTTATTTTTAGGTGTACCGGAGAATAATTGTTTAATCGTTGAAAGGATCATTTTAATAGATTCCTTAGTTTTTTCTTCGTCGATTATCGAGGACAATTGTTTTTGCAACTTTTATCTCACAATACACAATAAAATAAATATACAGACATTTTATATTACAGATTGGTTGTTGCTCCCATAAAAATATAATGTACAAATATAAAAGTATCTTTAAGAACTGCATTAATGCAACTAACTACATCTACGTTAACGTTCTCGTAACAGTAAACTCTGATTATATTTTTTTTTATAAACATATAAGCCTGTTAAATAGAGCTATTCGAATGACAGAAATATCAATACTTAATGTCAATCATTGATGAAAATACGATTACATGTGCATAAGTATATTTATCTTTCAATTATGCATACATGCATATATGCATACAGGCAGACAGACAGACACACACAAACGCGCACACACGCGCACACGCACATATATATATTATATCAAATTAATTTTAATTTTGATATTAAATGGAGAAGAATAGTTGTGATATTAATTTTTACATTAACGCAAGTTTCATTAAATGATGAGATACGTATATGTAAGAATTAAAACCCTCTAAACTTTATAAAACTACTTTGAAGATAATAAAACTTTATTAACTACTCTTGGTTAAAAATATTAGTTATAAATAGGAATTTTTCTAAACTATGTTTCTTAAAATCTATGTGCAAAATATCATACAACATATACTAAGAACTTAATCTAAGACTTGCCGTATAAAGCTATTATTAATTATTAAAATCATTATTATTTTCTACATTTAATTTTATTAATATAAAATTTCTATACGTTACCTCCAACAAATCATTTTACAATCATTCAAGTTAAAAATACATTGCACGAAATTTAAATAACTCTTATAATTTTCTTAGGCATTAGTAATTAATGATTTTCAACAAGTAATTCATGTCAAATTTACAATTCAGTAAATATATAATTTTATATTAATTTTTTATATTAAATTAAATATTTGTTTATTAATTAGTTTCATGCTCCTTTAATTATGCATTAATAGTTGGTAATAAAGAAAATTAATGAAAATTAATGAAATTATAATGAACATTTTCTTACAAATGCGGTATAATTTTAATCGATGTAAATTTTTGTTAAATTCATCAATGAATTATTAACTAAAAGATAATTTCTAATTGATCTGAAACAAAAATTTATTACATCTATCATTACTATTATCAATATTTACAATTATACTTATTATTATATCAGTACAATATTATTTATCATTAAGATTGTTGCATGAGAAAAAATTGATCAAAATTAAATACGCTAATTTACGAAATTATTAAAATAATTAATATAACATTATCATTGATTATAAACTTATTGAAAACTTATGAAGTATAATAAAATGTTCATTATACCTATAACAAAATTTTTTAGAAAGTTAAAATTGAACCGTTAGAGTCTATAAGTAAGTATATTTCATAAGAGCATTGTTAAGACTAATAATTCAATTATCTTCTCCTATCACAAACATCTATCGAAAAGGTCATAATGTCCCTGAGTGATAATTTAAACAAAAATATTTAGAAACAATATTGCGCACATTTATATTTAAATGATATAAAATGTATATATAGAAAGAGAGAGAGAGAGAGAGAGACAGAGTCAGAGTGAGAGTGAGAGAGAGAGAGAGAGAGACAGAGACTGGATTATATGTGGACTATTCACCTTTGTGATGGGGCTGTTGCGGTAATGTCGCATCATGTTTCTGTCGCCATTGCGCTTGCGCGCTATATCGGCTCGTGGGCATGTGCGCGAGACCACTACCACTACTATTTGGACTTCCGAAGTCCGGGGTGGACGACATGTCCTGCTGATGGCCGGTGGACGTTTTATCGCCCATGATAGAAAGGGCGCTTGTGGAGGCTGTGAGATTCCGCGAGACGACGAGTTCGACCTGTCCCTCGTTGCGCGACATCGCTATCACATCCGAAACATCCTGGAAGCTCTTCCCCTGGAGCGGCCTGTTGTTCCATTGGAGTACCTCATCGCCTATACGTGCGCGTAATGTCGTTCCTATTTAACTTTGTCTTACTAATCTCCAGCTTCGCTTATTTTTTATTATTACCGTCTTGTTGACGAAACATAGATTTACAAGACCCTTTGAAGTAAACAATTACAGCTTTTCAGAACCGAGACTAAACGCTACTATTGAATGTCCGATGGATATTTTAATAATAATATATAATCGACAACATTTCAAATAAAACCAAATTTAATATAAACCTTTGACATTACTAGTCGGTTACATAATTAATATGAGCTGTAAATATGAGTAGCTCATTGATGAATATCGTTATTGTAAGATCAAGCTCGATTTACTAAATCAATTATCTTCAATGCCTATTATTATTACGTAAAATGTAACATGAACAAAATTTAATTTAAATATACATACATATATATATATATGATAAAGGTATGCGAGCGAGCGGCTATTATATTTTTTTTTAATTATTTAATTCTCATCAGGATGCACAATATTATCAAAACGCAATACTATTGATAAGAAAACGTTTAAATAACTGTTTATAAATCATTATCGTTTAAATTTGACGAAATAACAATAACGTAACGATGAAAGATCAAATTTTATTACTATATTATATAAATTCCCAATAAAAGCTTTGCATGATTAGTGCTATTAATATGTATGCTAACCGTTATATGATAATTCATTGTAATCTCAACTTAATTTTATTTAAGTAAATTTATTAAAATTCGATACTAACTTATGAGAGATTTTCAACAGAAAATAATAAGTTGTTTAGATTTTAAAATTATATGTATTTAAAATATATATAAAATTACACACACACACACACACACACACACACACACACATATATATATATATATATATATATATATATATATAAGATCACCGATTATTCCAATTATACACATCAGGGCTTAATTTTGAAATATATAAATTTTTTATATGAAAACTGATGTATTCATTGATGATTAATATTTATGAAAAATGAAATTTTTATTTTTAATAATGTAAATGATAATATAAAAATTAGTCTACATATAATTCAATATATTCGCTTCTTTTAGATACATTACAAAACCACACTAAAAAGAAATAAATGTTATTATTTTGTATTGTATGGTACTTCAAAGAATAAAAACAGCCATAAACTGAAATATCAAACTTAATTACGCAAAACTGAAATTTATTGAACTTATGCTCAGACTAATAAATCATATTATATCCGAGTTAGTAAATTACATAGACTTTTGAGTTTTGAAAATTCGATAAAGCGGTTATCAATAAATCATTTTAATGTATAATATAGAGTAAATCATTTATTAACAAATTATATAATATTTAGGCAGATTAGAAAGATTATAAATAAAATATTTATGTTACTAAAAAGAAAAAAATCATATTTTTAAGCTTCGGCAATGTCGTACGTTTTAAAGTTTTCTTCATTTATTCAGAGATAGCATTATATGAAAATTAATATTATGTGTATTATTAAAAATAAATACTCGTATTAAATTCAACATTTAATATAATTTCCTTTAGTGAAATTCTATTAACTTTTGAAAGATTTAGTAAAAACGAAATGGGATATTATACACGTAATAAATTCATTATAAATATATTTTTTAATATTTTACTACTGTTCTTTAATTTCGAATTAAAAGCCAAAATTAATATTTTCAAGTTTTTCCAGTTTTTATCGTCAATTATTAAAATGTATTTTTCATATACACTATTTCTTATAAAAGTATTAAATTATTTTGTCCCCACAGTATAGTCAAGGAACAGATAAAAATGAAGATTATCCCCGAAAGATTTATCATTCGTTACGCAATTCATCAATCAATAGAAATTTATCGTGTAAATTATTTTTTCATTTTCATAGAAACTTGAGATTTTTACATTCAATATTCGAAATTCAATGTTAATTAAAAATTAGTATTTACTGGTAAATAATTTTACCGTAATAATGTATTTTAATTTTAAATTCCTGGTTGAGCCAAATTGTTTCCTTCAAAGGGACGTATAACTAACTACTCTACACGTTTAATTGCGTATTACTGAATATATTCAAAGCACGAACGATTTTTATATTCAAATAGGTTTATCTAACGTGACTATCATTTCTGCATCATAAAAGCAACAAATTTTATGAAGAAAAATCAATTAAAATATTATTAGTATTTGTGTTAATACTAAATATATATATATATATATATATATATATATTCATTATATATTATTATAAAATTCTCAAATTCATTACTGAAGAAAATACTCTAATAAATGAAGTAAATGCAATGAATGTTTGATGAACTTAATTTTATATTTTTATTTACATAAAATTTATTTGCTTTGAAGATTATTCAAATATTCATACATGATCGCAAAAACTATTATAAATTTGAAATACTTGCTTCATAAGCCTTGTCACTATATTGACAGATTATTTTACAAAATTATTATATAAAACTTATTATATTTAATCAATTTAGGAATGAAAAGATTTTAATTCTGAATAATATCGATTTTAAAATACAGTGAAAGCCCGTATGATCCACATTTAATTCCAAAATAGACTATTTTTCTGCAATGCTTCTGCAATGTTGTTATAGTCCTTTTGGTTATTTCATTACTTCATTTGATCAGTAGAAGAAAAATCTGAAAGTCTAGATGAAATGTGAAAATGAATTCTCTGAATACATTCTCTGTACCGACCAAACAATTGCTAGTGAATAAAAATTTTATCAAAAGCTTTCGTCGAACAAAGTCATACTTATCATTAGGTTATGCCTAATTCTTCAAATTATTCATTAAATAGATTCATATTTGAAATATTGTAATACGCAAGACAGTGAAAGATCTTTATTAGGGATACTTAAATGACATTTATTCATGTGAGGTAGTGTGAAAAAAGTCAATTTTTTTTGTAACAAAAGATCATAATGAACAAGGCTTTTTATAAAAATAATTAAAGAAAATAGTTGTACTGAGAAATTAATTTGGAAAGACACTTTACCAAGCTTTTTTTGATTTTAATTCCTTTAACACGACCTTTATAAAATAATAATCATTTTTCAGTAGAATAATGCAAACTTCCTAATGTTTCATCGCTATTTCGGTTAAATTTAGATTATTATTAAATTACATTTGCGTTTTATCGTGGCGAATTATTCGTTAGATTTAATTGTTAGAGTAACAATGCACATAAGTTGAAATCTATATTTGATTGTTTTACTTATTTTTTGAATAATTATTGTATGGTTTTTAAAATTTTAAAGATTCTTAACTTATTCTATTAAATTTAAAATGATATAACATATATGATATAAATCAAATGATATAAGGTAAAAAATATAAGAAAATTAATAATAATACAGAAATCCTAATATACTAATTCATTGGGTTAAACACAAAATAAAATTATTATTTACCAATCTTTATAAATTTCAAATAATTATTTTTATAATTAAAAAAGAATTAAAATAATGATACTAGTATAATGTTTGCTCGCTCGTGTGTTTGTATGCGCACTTATAAGGAGCATTAGCTTTTTTTTCTTTTGACTATTTTCTAAAATGTTAGATAAAAATTTTGTACTTATTTAAATTTATTTATTAAAAAAACGTTTTTTTAAAACAAAAACAATTGTGATCCTGTTTTAGGTATAACTCAATTATTATGTAAAAAAGAATTGCAAAGCAGTAGCCACTTATCGGTAAATATTCATTCAAGATTAACAAAAATTAATTAGTTTATTGTCTTGTATACATTATAATCAAATTAAGATTTAGAAATGACCTATTGGCTAGAATTATCTACCATTATTAAGTATTTATTTTGAATGATTCTGAATGAATGATATAATAATTATTTGTATTAGTCAGTATTAATGAAAAAGTATAATTTTTTTTTTCTTTTTTTTTTCTTTTTTTTGTAATACAAATAAAGATCCTTTGAATCAATCCTGCAATCAAGTCACTGCAGGCGTATCCTAACTAACTATATGTACAATAGTAATGTATAATAATTTTTTTTTTTTTCACCAACATATTATATTTTAATAGTTTCAACAAAAGTAACTCCACCTATTAATTGTAATAGTTAATCATTCGGTAGATTGATAAGGTTAAAAAAAAAAAATTAAATTTATTAAATAGTTACGAGTGATTGTAATATCGATGGTGCTCTGTCGCGTGAATTCGTAAGCGAATCGCCAGTGAAATTGGAAAGTGGGAGGAAGTGAAAATAGTGAAGCGAGTGAGAGTAACGAAGGAGGTGAATTAGAGCTCTGCCAATATGACAGGAATTATGGATAAGTTTATGTGTACAGAGTGATAACTTGCTCACCACTTCTGAGCTGTCCCTCGATGTCGGCGGGACTGCCTTTTTTCACCTTCTCGATGATAGCGCCCATTGAACCATCCTCTAAAAGCTTGCCCCCGACGACCTTCAGGCCAAGTATGCTACTATTGCTTGTACCCGGACCCTGCGACGACTTGCGCAGGACCATGTGACCGATCAACTTGTGGCCATCACTGCTCACCTGCCACGGCGACGGATGCTAACGAGAGCAAACCGCCACAACAAGTCCCACATTGATACTAATTTATGTTTATCGTGTTTATTGGTCTCACTTGCCGCTAATGTTCTGACATTTTTACCGACTACGTTCGATCGAAAATATTTAGTCTTCGATAAGTACTTAGTTTAGGGCTTACGAAGTTTTAACTCGACCGACGTTACTCCAGCGGTGAAGGTATATAAGGTATATATTTGTTGACAAGGAGAGTGCGAGTGCTCCGCTTCGACAATCAAACGAATGACTATTTATTTAAAAACCGACATTTTACAATAAATTATTATATCATTCATCGTGATCAATAATTCTGATGCCATCAACATAAAAACGTACGGACGCACGCGCACACATTCTGTAATAAAGAATCAGCACTAGTAATATTTTGAATTAATTTATTGTCTAAATTATAATAAATATTGTTTATTAAATATTATTAAATATCCAAAGCTATAAGGAATTTTTGCCTTTTAATATTATAAGAATTATCATTTATTCGAGTTGCAGAGTTTCGTTATATAGTTATACTTAACGTATCATTTAAAAATGTCAAATAAACACTAGCATTAGTGAAGACCGTATATGTCATTATGTATAAAGAAGCAAAATAAAAATAAAGAAATAGAAATTGAATATGTAAGCCTGCGATGTTAAGAAATATAGTGAGCGAGAAACATAAATACGTGGAAAGCATAGTTTTGCGTAAAGAAGATAATGCTACACATGCATGTAACACTAATATTTTTGTCCTAATTATTCGACGAACTAAAATTCTAATTCAGGTTCATACTTGATAGACATTAATGCACATAAAATCTACACACATACGCTATGTATAAACCATACATTAACATCCACATCCATGTATTGTATATACGTACACATATAAACGAATGTAATTATTTCTGTTCGAGCATCATGCAAGATTGTGATACATGATCATACTTATATATGTATAATGGACCACTTTCTAATAATGAAAATACCATGAATTATGATCGTTGGGAATGTATATGCATACGTCTAAATATTCAATTTTATAATGTGTTTAGAAAAAATCATTTTATTAGTTTGTTTTCATGAATGAAAGAAGATGAATAATTTCCATATTTATGTTATTATTATTTTATTGAACTAACGTTTTGTATAAATTCGTATTCAAATATCTGACAAATATAATATTTTTGAGACTGAACGACGAAACGCATGTCTTCCCCATTTAATTGAAAACCTTGCATTCACTCAAAAAGTGCTTTGGTTGTTTTATGCAATTTTATCTGCTTGCATAAAACAATCGATATGTAAAATATATCATATCAAGCAATTAAAGATTTTGATCTTATTCAATATAAGTACGTAAGCAATTAATTATTTGTCATTAAAATTTCGATAAATTATTACTGAAAATTGACCGTCAATTAACTAGAAATATACGTATTTATATAATATAATATATGTATAATAAATATAATATAATATAATATATAATATAATATATGTATATAAATATACATACATATATATATATATATATATATATATATATATATATATAAAGATATATGTGTGTGTAGAGTGGTATGTGTAGAATGTTTGAGCTATGTTTAACAATGTTTGTTTTAATATTTAATCGAGTGTGCGAGTAATTTAATATTGACTATTGCTTTTAGTCTCTATATAGAAATTCATAATAAGAACAATATTAGTTTTTCTATTACACTTTATATTAAGAAATAAAAACGATAGCAATTTACTATTAAAAACTTTACCTACAATAATTTTTATAAATAAACATTAAAATAATAGATTAAACCTTAACAATATAAAATAATACTCTATTTTTACAGATATAAAATAAATTCAATTAAACAATAAGCTTTTATGGAATATCAATATAAAAATAAAAATCAAATGCTTACTGTTTGGTATATGGTGATATTTTCAAAAATTTTCCATCAATAATTTATTATTACGTAATCAAATATACAAGCCTTAAAATCACACATACGCACTAACGCCATACAAACATACTTGCACACGCTCACGCACACGCACGCACATCCGTAAGCATGTGTTTGTGTATATATATGTATATATATATATATATATATATATATATATATATATATATATACACATATATGTACATATGCGTGGGTATAAGTATGTACATAAATAATTCTAGCATATTATTAAAACACTGTTATTTATTTTACTGCAATAATACTGTAATATTAGGCCCTTTAATTTCTCTAATATAATGGCGATATAAATGATCAATCGAAGTAATCGATGTGATCGTCGATCGTCGAGAAAACAAAAATAATATGTATACAAGTGCATACATAAGAAAGGGAAATTAAAAAGAACTAGTACGCATAATCTCATAATTGGTAGAATAAGCGACGACACGTGAGACGGGCGTACCTTGGGCAGGTCGCCCTTGTTGCTATCTTCGCTGCTCGTAAATGTACTCGAGGTGTCAATGCCAGAGTCTTTGGTTGCACTGTCTTGGCTACCCTGACGATCGGCCTCCCAATACCAATCCTCTTGCGAGCCGCCCCCGGTACTCGTTCCACCATGAAATCGCACCGTCTTTTTCCCCCTTCGCTCGGTGAACCTTTTTTTTTGTTTAGTTTTTTTTTTTTTTTCTTATTAATGTTAATCATGCCTTTTCTTAACTTTTACCAAATTTAATGCTTTAATATTAACTGCTCATTCTCATTTCAGTTATGATAATTAGAATTTTCACATTTACACTTCAATCATTATCCTGCCTTAATACAGTTGGCGATTGACATTTCATGGAGATATTTAAATTACTAGACATTTTAAATGTATATTTAATTTTTAATCTAATCATTTTACAATGAATATTTATTTGCTTCCTTTATCTGTTTCTAGCAACCACACTATAAAATAATATGATATTACAAGGATCAAATTTATATAAATATATATATATATATATATATATATATATATTACAGTATTGAGATTTGGTAATTATATGTAAATCACTTTATTTAAATATGTTTAAAATAGACATTAAATTGTAATAAAATGAGTTATCGCGTTCTATAATCGTAATAATCATAGTAATGAGTTCTATCATGTTTTTATTACTGAAGTTTCTGAATTAAAATATTGTTACACAATTAATGCAATTTTTCAATGATAAATATAAGTAAGCAAATAATAGTAACCTTATAGAGTTTCCTAAGTTAGACACGTTTTTCTTAAAAATCTCGCAAAAGCGATCCTCTCATTTTCTTTGTAAAATGAAAACAATACAACAGTAATAGTAATGTAATGATGTAACATAACAATATTTCCATTAAGTATTTAGATTCAAATCTATTATAAATTGTTATGGAAAGAAACTAAAGATATTCTATACTGGTTGCTGTATAATTCCCTCCTACACGAATCTTAAAATTTGCATTCCCATCCATTAAATGTCAGCGGTTTTCGAATTTTATATTCGAATTCGAAAATACGAATGTCCCTAAGAAAATCTCCTGCCATTTATAATTTAAATATAGCTTTGACTAATAATCAAAAGCTTAGAGAGAGCCTGTGGCGCAATTGCTTAATTGGAAATATCTATTTTTAATAAATGTGAGGTTAGAAGTTTAATAAAATGTTAAGAAATGAGAAGAAATGAGCAATTAATATAAGCTAAGCAAAGTTATGGATTAATGTACGTAAAATGTACGGATTATATTCCATAAAATTGTTGAAATGATATTTAGGCTTGAATATTTAGGCTACGGGACGAAGCATATTTTCAAATACTCAGAATTTTATTACCGTAAGGATGCAGGTGGTCATTGAGCTTAGATCGATCAATTATGAAAGTGACAAGAGTTTGCACAATCTAAGCAATCATACTCAATGTAATTAATAGACAGTGACTTAACATATCCGAAAATAACTTCGTACTATTGCTCTTAAGTGGGGATGGGGTGGTGGTGGTGGTGGTGGTGGTGGTCGTGGTCGTGGTCGTGGTAGTAGCGGTAGTAGCGGTAGTAACGGTGGTAGTGGTGGTGGTGGTGATAGCGGTGGTGATAGCGGTGGTGATAGCGGTGGTGATAGTGGTGGCAGTGGTGGTGGTGGTGGTGGCGGCGGTAGTGGTAGTAATGGTAGTAATGGTAGTAATGGTAGTGGTAGTGGTAGTGGCAGTAGTAGTGGTGGTGGTAGTGATGGTGGTAGTGGTGGTAGTGGCGGCGGCGGGCCTGTCGACGGTTGTAGGAGGGGGGGGGGGGGGGGGGGGGGCG